CTTCTCTATCCAATAATAGTTATTCACCAACCCAAAATATTTTTCGAACAATTCCTAGTCGGATCCTCAGACCTACACACCAATAATTAAAACAATACGGCAAAGAGGAGAAAAATACCGAAAAACACAAAAAAGGCTCGAACTGAACTAAAAACACATAATAAGACACAAAACACACATTAATACTAAAAGTAATGACATAAAACGGGGGAAAAGAACAACAAAAATATAAGAAAATCGACACAAAAATAGGACAAACACGGAGCTGTCTAATTTGTGTTTGGAGAAGGTTTGTAACTTGCTCGAGTTGCATTTTGAGTGCTTTATGAAAAAAAAAATGGGAACTCGCTAGACGGACAAAGGATTCTACTTCGCTTACTTATGGAATTTGTTTCACTAGTAATAAGTATTGGCAAACCACTCTAGGAAACTTGGATGACCTCCAATATTTAAACCTAGAGAATATTCGTCGTTACATCTCGGTTTTGTTAGGAAAAAACAAACTCCTTAATAATAATACTAAAAAGTCGAGTATTTGAAGTGAAATTCAGCTTGAGCATATGTGAGTGTTGTATGGAGTTTTGATGGGAATGATTGGTTTAATGTTGATTTTGGATAGGTGGTGAGGCATTTGAGTAGTTCATGTGCTCAAAAATTTGATTGTTTATTTGAGCCACTTTATCTTTATATTTTTCCTTCCCTTGAGGCCTACATTGCAACCCAAAAGTCCTCTTGATCATAAATTCATGATATTTGGTTGTTTGAGTATGAATAGACTATAGGCAAGTTTATGTTGAAGCATGATGATGGACCAATTTGAGCGAACCCATTTCATATTTATGCAAGAAACCGAGTGAGGCATATACATATTATATTTTCGTGCTTGAGAGTTTGTCTTTCATAACGTAGCATTCAAGTTGTAATTGGGTTGTGCTATATTGGTCATTGGAAGTCTCCTCGGCTAAGTTGATTAATTTGAGACTTGTCTTATTTGAAGCTGTTATCCATGCTCGTTTACTTGTTTTCGTTTCTTTTCTTTTCTTTTGTTCGGGACGAACAAAGGTCTTAGTGTGGGGGAGTTGTTTGTCCCATTTTTTGTTGCGTTTTTCCTTGTTATTTTGCCTTTCTTTTACCCCCATATTAGGTCTTTTAGATGGTTTTTAGTTCGTTTTGTAGTTTATTTTGTGGTTCGCTCTATTTTGGTTTTTCTTGTAATTTTTTGTAGTTTTCCTGTTCTTTTTCATCGTTGTTGTGCAGGTTGAAAGTCTCGGGATGATGGCTTTTCAGGAATATATTCGTTGGGAAAGCATGACTAAATAGAGCGTTCCATTGGCAAGAATAAGAAAAAAAAAAAGGCAGAATCGAATTCTTTAGTACAAATTAGCTCGAGTGGGACCGAGAAGTAAAGTCGAGCAGAGACCTCTCATCAAGTGTCGGATTTGCGAGAATAAACAACTGATCAATTAGAACAACGAGTGGCTCCTTGCCAAGGCTTTTCCAAGCTCATTACCCTCACAATGAGTGTCATCGACTTGGTCGAGAATCGTAATAGGACTAAATAAACTTGGTCGTAGCCTTTTCTCTTTTCGGAAACAAGGCGCATAACACCTCCTAAATTAAAATCTCCAAGGTTGGTTGACTTCATTAGTCCTCCAAGCGAGACTTAGGGCATTGCAATACACGTGAAAATTCCCGAAATTGGTACGCATTACACGCTAGAGACTTGGCAGATGTGACATGGATGGCTGGCCTGGCATGCGGCAACATGGTATGCTACATACGACAAACTACGCAAGACACTTCCTACGACTCGAGATGCATCATCGAACGTGGCACGCATGTGCGCGGCACCAGTACGCAGTACACCTGCACCACCTGCATCCAGTAGCTACAGTTCATTCCTCATCCACTGTTATATCTCCCCGTGTTGATGCGTACACGAAGATCAGAAATCCCCTGGTGGTTTGCGACCCTAGTCTAACTACCAGATCCAAATATACCGACTTCTATGTCAGGGTACTTGTACTTCATCATGAGTTAGTTGGTTGATTACTCACAATGTTTCTCACAACTCCTTGGCTGCCCTCCTTAAAAGACTTCTTCTAATCCATAACATTTCTAGAACTTTGTCGAAGCTCTTTCCGATCAGGTAGGCGGAGACTTCCACGTACGACTCTCCGACATGATGCTCAATTCGTTCACAAAAGGATGATTGATTTACGCCTATCTGTAGGCCCAGGTATTCTCAAGAGTTGCAACACTATTAGCTCTCTTAAACCTTAACATCGACTTACAGGTGTCATGAATCAAGATTCCTAAATTTACGAGAACAGGTAATGTAATACCCCATTTCTCACTAGCCAATAGTTCATGCATTTTATGTGTTAAAATGCTAAAAAAAAATCACATTTTTATTACGTTTATATTTTCAAAATATTGTGATTAAAAAAAAAATAAAAATAATAATAATAATAATAATAATAATAAAAATAATAAAATAAAATAAAATAATATAATACATATATTTATATTATTAAATGTATGTATTTATACATATATATACATATATATATATATATGTGGGTCACGCTCCGGTGAAAATGGTACTCAAGGAAAGAAATGAGAATAAATCTTAGTCACATAATCTGATCATCCAATGGTTCAGAAAAAGCCAAAATTTTAAACAGATTAAGGGTATAGTGGTATTTCTTCAACTACCAACATAAGTGGGACCCAGCAGACCCACACATTAAACACACAACTGCAATCTCTCTTTCCATGGCCCATGTAACGGCTCTCTCTCCTATCTCTCTCTCTCTCTCTCTCTCTCTCTCTCTCTCTCTCACACACACACACACACAAAAAAAACTAGAACTCACGGCCGACGACCCCATCCCCGCCGCCGACCTCCACCAACGTTACTCTGCCGTCGTGCCCGCAATTCTCGTCCCCTCCGGCCAATCCACGGCGGCTCTTCCCCCAGCGCCGCCGACCAAGAGTCCCCACACACCCACAGGCTACAGACCCGCATGTCGCAGCCCAACTTCCCGCCGACGGCCGATCAATAGCAATCATAACCACCGTTCAATCCCCACCGCCGGCGAGCGTCCGCCACCTTCCTCCATGACCAGCTCGACGTCATCTTCTCCATTGTCCAGGCGGCGACGACGACGCTATTCTCACCGCCACTAACATTCTCGTCTAGGATTGCACCATATGCACGGCGAAGCTCCGCCTCCAACAAAGGCTGAAATCGACGGGGAAAATGAAGTTTCGAGATCCGCCATTAATGGCAAAAAAAAAAGCTTGTGATAACCGGCAGCCTGAGACTCCACCGGCGGCGGTGGAAGGGACGGCAGCCTTGGAAGATGTGTCTCCGGCCAGAAACGGCGTGACCTGCCGGAAAAGAGCTTTGCAGATTTTTTTATTTTTTTATTTTTTATAATTTGATACACTATAGGGACTCAATTGCAAAATATTGAATGTTGAATTTTAGTTCTGGGGTCTAATCTGTAATTTTTTGAAAATTTCAATGAAAGTTGAACAATCAATTTATATACCAACAAAGTCCCATAATGATTCACAATATTATTATACCGGTTGCACTTTAATGAATATCGATTGCACAATTGTGTTAGGCATAATGCATATTAATGCATTTGATAACACACATTAAAACAACATTACATTTTCACGTATATTAATATAATTTGGTATTTATGTCTAATTCGACTTTATTTACTAAAAACAAAAAGAAAAAACGAAATAACGTGGACTGATCGAACTATATTAAATAGTATTTTTATATTTTGTCTATAATTTTTTATTTTCAACAAACAATAATAAATAAATTTATAATGACAAAATAATGTTAACTAGAATACTCATTGTTAAAGTCTACAGTTGAAATGCACAAAAAAAAAAAAAAAATGATCAATTGACTGCACAATAATTGGCTGCACAATAATGATAGACAAAATGCACATTATTATATGTGGCATTGCACAATATTGATCCAATTTTCTATATATCGTGTCTTTTAAACCAAAATATAATATAATAATATTTGTTTACAACCGACGTGACAAATAAGACTAAGTATCCTGATTACCGAGTATAAACTCCAAGTAAATCACTATCCTGACTCGATTCGTAAACCGAAGTCTACGCTATACCGAAACTGAAGCAAACATAAAAACCGAGATCAACACATGATTTCCTCGACCGAGGTCCTCCACTCCCGAAGTTACCTAACTCCAAAGCAGGTGACAAGGCGCCTACGCCATAATTGCTGATTCACGAGATTTTCATCATAATGCCGCCCACAAAAAGCTACTTTAGTGAAAAAGTGGTTCAGCTTTACTTAGGAAAGTGTGCCAAAAAGATACTATATATAGATGATTCTAATACTTGTACAAGGATCGAACCCTGAATATTTTGATCATAAACACGTAACAGCTCATCACAGCTTTTCACCTCGGTTCACCTCGGATCGAGGCCATTGCCTTTGTTTGATTATGCAATTTCTGTTTAGTACTCATATTAATTGCTCCTTTGATTACGCAATTTCTGTTTAGTACTCATAGTAATCGATCCTAAATCAGTGTAACCTTGTTGTTTTAATCCACATGACAACAGATTGGCGCTAGAGGAAGGGCCTCATTTGTGTTTTGAGGTCAATCCCCCCTGTGTAATTGTCCGACAGTATATTACGATTGTTCTCTCGTTATGTCACATTCAGATCATCGTGGTCGCACCTCTCGCGACGGCCGCAGCCACTCCGCCGGACGGACTAGTACTGCCCCGCCCGTGCACATTGATTACACTGTTCTGTTTCACAATCCGGAGTTCGCTCGAGGACTAGTGACTCTGATGGCACAAACTATGCCGGGACCATCAATCACCGCTCCTGGGAGTTCTGTTGTACCACTACCGCCTACCACGCCACAAGTTCCTTTGGGTTAGTGGCAAGGTGATGAAGACAATATGTCGTATGCTACGTCTCACCCTCGTAGTCCCGCCTCCCATCATGATCGTGACAGGGAAAGGTAGACTCGTCAAAATAATGCGAACACAATGCCTGAGGCGCAACAAGAGATGACGGCCGAAAGCCATTCTGGCCATCGTCGACGGCCACCACCTCGCAATCAACCGCCAGAGCAAATTCCGCCTGTGCAACCTGACCTACGACATCAAATCGAGCGAAATCGTTCAGCTCGTCAGGGTCTAATGAACTGGAAATTTAAAGACGAAGACTAGCCGAATTGGAAAACCGACAGAAGGCACAGGAAGATTCTCCTCGTCGTGCTTCCACTTCGGCTCAAGTATACTTGGAAGCAAATTCTTTTCTTGCCCCTGAATTAACGTCAGAACCTGTTCCTGGAAAGGTCAAAGTGCCCCAAATCGGCTTGTATGATGGGACCTCGGATCCCGATGATCATCTCGGTCATTATACCTCTTGGATGGATCTCCACGGCGCTTTCGATGCTCTTCGATGTCGGATGTTTTCTCTTACCCTCGGACCTCGCGCTCAAAAGTGGTACCACTCTTTACCTCCTCATTCGATATGGAAATGGCAACAGTTGAGGTCCGCGTTTCGGTCTCATTTTATTGGGGCCCAAGTATGTTTAATTCCCAAGGAGTCCATTGCCAATGTCACTCAGATGGATGATGAAAGTGTTAAAGATTATATTACACGATTTTGTAATATCCCGATATTTTAATCGGTATAATTACGTTTAATTCCGATATAATAATGTTATCGTTTATTATTTTCGGAATTAATTAAGTTCAGTCGGAATTACCGAAATTGATTTTCGACGTACCGTTTACGTTCGAAATAATTTTGGTAATTGAGCATTAAGTTTAATTAGATAATTAAACTTAAATGGTGATTAATTAGTGAATTAATCACATCATTAGCCCTAAAAGCCGTAAGCAATAGCATTAGTTTCCCAAAAAATTAAGCCATTGCCGTGAGTTTCCTTTAGTTGAGGAAATAAATTTCAACCAATCAAGTTATAACATTTGTCATTACAAGAGAAGGATTAGTCATCACAAGTTGAAGAAGAATTAAACAAGTGTTGAGTTCTAAACTTGGCCACATCAAGCCATCATCATCACCATAAGCTTTCGGCCGTGTATAAAAAGGGCTACTTGGGCAAAAATTTCCTCACCTTTTTCCTTTAGAAATTCAGCAGCAAACAGCCCCTCAGCAGCTCTCAAATTCCATAGATATTTC